AATGAAAACTACTACTTCGAGGGACGGAGAATGGGAAGGACCGGCTCTAGTCTGGCGCAGTTTATAACGCGACTAAAAGCTATCGTAAATTTATACGCTATTCAAATGAATATAATGCTACACATGAGTATATGGATAAGTGAACAAATATATGCGTACATCTCCTGCGTGCGTGTATATGTGTGCATATTCGCGTACCTATTTATTTGTACGTTTGTATGTTCACATATACGTGCATAAATAATGTACGCATATATCAGGGGCAGGCAACATTTTTCCTTGCATCACGTGCTGTTCATTTGTTACAGGAGCACTGATCTGATTCTCTGTTTTTCTGGATCCGCATGCAAAGTATAAAGTTCTTCAGTTTCAAAATCAATTTGTAAACAGATGTTTGTTTAAACTTTAGATTCCAAGTAATATTCACCGAGAATGTATATTAAACATTTTTAGTTTTCCTGTAAGAAGTGCATTTAACAACTAATGCACCATCCACTTACGCAACTTCAGTGGCCATAATGGTGGCTGCCGTTTAGAAACTTTACCGATGGAAATGAAATTAAAATGTCTTTAACAATGTAATGGAGATGTTAATGGCATCAAAGAAAGATTTATTATTTTTCTTTGTAAATGAAGATACTTGAGAACGTAGAAAAGGGCGGATCACAGTTGAAAATGCTGAAAGCATCGGAGAATCGACGTGCCCATTTCAAATGCACAGACGATCGCATGTTTATCCGTTCATGAATTCGTTGTTTGTTCACGAACACTCGTACACATGAATCATGCCAGCAGCACTATTGTAATTTAACTTATACATACACGAACACATTCGAAAACTAAATACAGCGTTAATAGAAGTAAGTTGAAGGTGGGGTGTGCTATAAATTCCTCTCCCCTAACAAGCTCGAATAGCTTGCTAATTATTGACGATATAAAACACTATTATATTATATGAAAAATCAATTAATACTAATAACTAATTTATAATAATAACACTAATAATAATAACGCTAATAATAATATTAATACTAATAATAATAACAAATAATAATAATACTAATAACGATACATCATGATACGTACATATAATTTATACAACGCGGTAAATATTCTTGTTATTTTTAAGACGCTACAACTTGTTTCTCTATACATGCATACACACGTATACACTAGGATTTACACGCATATACGTGTGTATATGTATGTGTATACACAGGACCGATGGTATTGAGAATGCGAGCACAACAGTGCTCGCGACGTTTCGGAACAACTAGAATTCTACTCTAACGACCTTGTTGAATGCGAGAGTAATCTTTGCCACGTTGTACCTGCGCGGGTCTAAAGGAACCTATCGCGTTATAAAAGATATCGCGACAACGAATGCGTGTCGAGATCGATCGTACATTGAGAAGAATCACGATTCGATGGG